GGCAGGAGCCCCGGGGCGGCAGCGGCCCGCAGCCGAGGACCGCGGGGAAGCGCCTCCCTTCCAGGGGGTGCCGCCTGGCCGGCCCCCCAGCAGCCCCCGCCGCCGCCGCGGGGACCCCTCCTCCGCGCCTCCCGGGGGCGGGCGGCGGGCACCCCCCGTCTCGGGGTTTCCCACAGCGGCCGAGGGGGTGGCGCGGAGGAGGCCTGGCCGCGGCCGCCCAGCCCAGCCCAGCCCAGCCTCCGCGGGCCCGGCGCGCGCTCCGTCCCCAGCTGCCCGCGGGGCCCGCTGGCAGGGATGACAGCGCCGGGGGGGCCCACAGGGCTGCAGCCCAGGGGCCGGGGTCCCGGCGGTGACCCTGAGGGCGGGGGCCCGCCGATCCGGGACCCGGTGACGGTAGGGGCGCTCCCGCCTGGAGGTAACTGGACCCTCACTGGTCGCCTCCGCCCCCCGGACGCGGGCCGAGCGGGCTCCTCCACGACGAGGAAGCCCTCGGGCCTCCCCTTCCCCGCACTGCCCGGGAGACAGCCCTGAGCTTGCCCCTTGGAGGACGTGTCGCTGCCCCCATTCGCCCCCCGGTTACGACATCAGTCACCAGCGAGTCACTCACTCCGCTTCCGCCATCTTCTCTCCTCCATCACTAACACGGGCTGCGCATGCGCCCTCTCGGCGGCGGCGGCGGCGGCGGCAGGCAGAGGGGCGGGGTCGACCCAACCCCGGGGCCCCGGGGTCACGTGGGGTCGCCGGCGTCCGGCTCCTCACCCCCACCTCGCCGCTCTCTCTCCAAACGCAGGCTCTGCTCTCTCTGGGAATTGACCAGGTTTTCTCAAATTAGATACTAAAGTGTCTCACCTCCACCTCCCGGCTTTCTCTTGCGTAGGGTCTTCTTCTTCTTGGAGAGGGGTCTGTAACCAGGATAAGAAAAGTTCTGCTTCCACTGTCAAATTAAAAACCTGAAGAACACACGAAGTACGCTAAAGCCTGTGCAAACTGCAGAGTGAGATGAAAGAAAACCAGGAGGATCCGATGCTAAGGTCTCGGAGGGAAAGGAAATGCCCTGGTGGCTGCAAGGCTTGTTTCCTAGGGCGAGTTGGAGTTTGGGGGTCTGAACCAGCAGCTTCTCTATCTCAGAGACAGTGTTCAGGATGCTGGTGTGGTGGGTGGTCACGGGATCGTCCTGACTATCCTATGTCTTCCACATGAATGTGCTGAGCACTTAGCAGAGGGTTGCAAATTAGAATACCACAGGGAACAAGCAGGAGTGGCCACTAATTTGCTAATGTGGCTTACTAATAAATGACATAGATATAGCTATATAGGAACTACGATGAGGCAGGAGGAAACATCAAGATGAGTATGAAAAGGCCCTTCCTGCCAAGCACAGCCGGATGGAAGAGACTCATTGGCCAAGCTCTGCACCCTCTTCGGGCACCTCACTCTCCCAGCACCCCCATGGGCTCGCCGAGGCAGAAACTCTCTACACCCTGTCTTTTGAGTGTCTAAAAAGGCTCCATTGCTAATTATGACTGAGTAAATCATTGGCTATTGGTGGTAATTGATTCAACTTCCAGTTCTTCTCCCCTCCCTTGAGAAGAGGGAATTACAAGGGTTTTAGGAACTCTGTGCCAGGAATGGGGTCGAAGCCCTAAAATATATTTCTTATTATAAATCACAGTATCACAAGCCCACAGGCCAAATACAGACTGCTGCTTGTTTTTGTACAGCAATCAAGCTAATGATGGTTTTTACATTTTCTAAGAATTGGGGAATCAAAAGAAGAGTACTATTTTTGTGACAAGTGCAAATTATGTGAAATTTAAATTTCAGTATCCATAAATAAAGCCTATTAGAACGCATTCATGTTTGTTCTTTTATGTATTGTCACCGGCTGCTTTTGTGCTACAAGGACAGAACTGAGTAGTTGCCACAGACGCTATATTGATCCACTACTTACTATCTGGCCCTTCACAGACAATGTTTGCTGACCTCTATTCTGTGTCAAGGATCCGCCTGTCTATCGCAGAGGAATGCCTACAAAACACAGCCGGCAGTCCTGGTGCCCGAGAGGCCTGGCGCCAAGCAGGAAGCAGGCCCCTACTTGCCAGCGATGAGTGGGTGCCGCAGGGCCACAATGGCCGAATCCCCGCGCGGGAACATCGCGGAGATGTAGCGGTCCTTGTGGACTGGCTTGGACTTCTTCGGGCCCTGGCCACTCTTGGGGACCTCGGTCCCCATCGCCTCCACATTCTCCAGCACCATGTTGCAGTGCCCGTCAAAAGCCTTCACCCGGCCCAGGAGCTTCTTGTTGCAGCAGTGGATGAGCACCTGGCTGTTGTTCTTGACGGACTGCGTGAGCACGGAGAGTGGGCCCGTGTTCAACTCTTCCTCCTCCCGCTTCTGCGGTTCCTCCGCGGTCTTCTCACTCTTGGGCTTGTTGAGAAGGCTCGTGGGGGCGCTGGGGGGCGCTGGGTTGCGCTCTCAGAACACCCCTGTCGTCCGCGTTGCGTGGGCCTCCGAAGAGAAAGCCCGAGCCAGGTTTAGTATTATAATGTGGGAAAGAAAAGGGGGGGGGGGGGGGGGACAACAACAGCCTAAAGATTGTGTAAAATCTTAGAAAGCAACATGTAAAGTACTCTTTTTTTTTTTTTTAACTTTTTTACCAAGGTCTTCCTTCACCTATATTTGCTCAATAAATGCTATTGAGTATGCCTAATGCTCAGTAGGATTTAAATGCTTGTTGAGGGAATAACTGCTTGACTAGTTGGATGGATAGTGCATGAAATCCTAGGGTACCCTGTAAATTGAATGAGACCATGTACAGACTGACTTTGTCTTTTCCTTGAAAGTAATATACCAAGCCCTGACTGGTTTGGTTCAGTGGATGGAGCGTCAGCCTGTAGACTGAAAGGTCCCAGGTTCGATTCCAGTCAAGGGCATGTACCTTGGTTGCGGGCACATCCCCAGTAGGAGGTGTGCAGGAGGCAGCTGATCGATGTTTCTAACTCTCTATCCCTCTCCCTTCCTCTCTGTAAATAATCAATAAAATATATATTTTTTTAAAAAGTCTATAATAAAGTTTCTTACTTAAAAAAAAAAAAAAAAGTAATATACCAAAACAAAATGCTTTTACTAAACCAAATAGTATTGAAACTGAAAAGACAGTCTCCAGTCCTGCCACCTCTCGGGTTAATCATATGCTTATCAGCCTTATCTTCCCTTGTGTGCTTGTGGGCGGCACTGTACACAGTCAGCTGTATTTCCCCAGGTGCTGAATAGTAGCAGCACTGAACATTAAAGCTGGAAGGGCCATGAGCCATCATGTGACCCACAGGGAGGAAGAATCTATGGCAAAAGAAGAAGCTGAATCCTGATCTCCTATCCCCCCATCCAGAATGTTTTGCCTGGTGCCGAAAAGCCTTCAAGCGAGGAGGTGCTCATTAAACACTTGGAGACGCTATGTACTTTCACTTTCAGTCTGCTTTCATGCTTAATGTTTGCTTCGCGTTATGGCAGCCTAGAAGAGTTGTTATAAGCAAGGCTGTGGAATCAGACAAACTTAGCTACGAATCCTGGCTCTTCCACACCCTAGCTGTGTGACCTTTTGCAATCCTGTCTGCTCCCCCTTCAAACTAGAACCTCATCTCTGGCCACACTACCTTGAACATGCATGAAATCATCCAAATACAAGCGAATGTGACACTTCTCACCACCTCCACTGTTTTCAGCCTCGGCCCAGCATCTCTCTCCTGAACCACCATAATCGGCTCCTGACAGGTCATCCTGCTTCTCTACTCTTGTTTCTCTATAGTCTCTTCGCCAGCCAGCAGCCTAAGTAAGCTTTTAAGACTGTAAATCTGACCACATCGCTGCTCAAATCCTCCAGTGGCTTCCCATCGCTCTTAGCAGAGAGCCCAGGGTTTTGTGTTGCTCACTGCCTCAGCCACACTGGCCTCCTTGCTTTTTCTTTTTTGCTCTTGTATTCCCCAGATCTCACTTCCTCACTTCTTTCAGGACTCTGCTCACATACCATCTCAGAAAGCACTCCCCACCACCTACCTTAATATGGCCTTCTCATCACTTTCTTTCCCTATCCCACTTCACTTTTCTTCATAACACTGCAATGCACCAGACATTACGTTATGTACATATTGGTTTATTTATTCAGTACTCCCATCAACCTCCAGGTTGTAAGCTTCGCGTTTTGTGCACTGTATTCCCAGTTCTTAAAACCTAAGTGCTTCCCTAGCTGGTTTGGCTCAGTGGATAGAGCGTCAGCCTGCGGACTGAAGGGTCCCGGTTTGATTTCGGTCAAAGGCACATGCCTGGGTTGCAAGCTTGATCCCCAGTGGGGGACATGTAGGAGGTGGCCAATCAATGATTCTCTCTCATCATTGATGTTTCTATTTCTCTTTCCCTCTCCCTTCCTCTCTGAAATCAATAAAGATATATTTTTTAAAAAATTAAGTGCTCATTAAATGGACATTGAATGAATAAAGTTACTTAGCCCCTCTAATCTAAATCAGATCAGAATCCCCAGGTTTCTGATCTGAAAAATAGGGATAATATTTGCCACAAAGTTATTTTTGAAGTTAAATACAAATTGAAATAATGTATATAAACAGTAGAACATAATAAATGCTCACCTTTTTGTTGTTATTTTGCCCCATATTATTATTCTTAAAGTAAAGGAAAATAATCCTCCTACCCTATTTCCAAAGGCTATGATTTTTTTTAAATTATAGGGTAGTCCTTACTTTTTAAAGTTAGCATTTTATATTTTTTAAACTTGCATCTGCTATATTATAAAATATACTAGAGGCCCGGTGCACGAATTCGTGCACGGGTGGGGTCCCTCTGGGTGGCCTGCAGGGATTGGGCCGAAACATGCAGTCCAACGCCGCCTGCAGCTTCTACCTGCTGCTCCCGCTCATCCTGGCCCCACTGTGCCTGCCGCAGGCTCACGCCCAATCAGCCCCCATCAGGAGAGGCTCCTGCTGCCACAGCAGTGCTCACCAGCCATGAGCCCTGCATCTGGCGCCCTCCCAAGGGGAGTGGCCTGCAGGATCAGACTGAAACCGGCTCTCTGACATCCCCTGAGGGGTCCCAGATTGCGAGAGGGCACAGGCCAGGCTGAGGGACCCCACTGGTGCACGATCAGGCCATGGAGGGACCACGGGAGGGCTCCAGGGTGTGTCTGGCCCATCTTGTTCAGTCCTGATCAGCCGGACCCCCGCAGCAAGCTAACCTACCCATCAGAGCATCTACCCCCTGGTGGTCAGTGAACATCATAGCAAGTGGTCGACCAGTTGACTGTCTGCCCCCTGGTGGTCAGTGCATGTCATAGCGAGTGGTTGAGCAGCCTTTGCATATCATTAGCATATTACGCTTTGGTTGTTTGGTTGTTCTGCCGTTTGGTCTATTTGCATATTACCCTTTTATTATATAGGCTAGTTTCAGTATCAAAGAATAGATTTTTGCCTGTATGCTCCTAATGCACAAAAATAAACTGTCATATCAGTTTGACATTAAATCTTAATTGTAATGTTCTATTTATGATAGATAAGTCTCTCAAAAATACATAAACTGCCTGAGACAACAGAAGGCAGAACAAAATACATTATGGAACATGCAAAGCTAGAACAG